CTCTTCTCCTCTTCCACAGCTGGGCCGAGATGGAGCCCTTTCCCCTCCGGCCGCCACAGAAAATCCTGCCTTCCACCAGCTCCCCGCCTGTGAGGCAGTCTTTGAACCTCAGAGGTCAAACTCAAGGGGCCAGGCAGCTATGACCAGAGCACTGGCACAGGGACCTCAGTCTACCCAGGGTCCCAAGGACCACCCCCTCCCACCAGGCCACCATGTGTGGCTGACCCGTGCTAAGGCTGTGGGGCCCAGAGAAGGTAAGGGACTTCCCAAGGCCCCTCAGCAGCCCCATGGCAGTGGGTCTTGGGTGAACGGGGGGGCCAGAGGCAGGGCTGGAACGGGACCGAGTTCTGCGTGAGGGTGGACTTTGAAGAACAGAGGGGTGCACCGGAATCAGCGTGAGCAGCCTCATACTGGCAGGGCTGCTGGGCTCAGACTCTGTTTTCCACAAACACAGATGGGCCGGGAAGGGTCAGAGGGAGGCCTGGGTGGAATGTGGGTCAGCGCTGGCCGCCAGGTTCTGAGGACTCGCACTGAGCTGCACGGGGACGGGCGGGGCCTCCAGGAAGCCCGAGCGCCTGCAGATCCCAGGCCGGGCAGCCTCAAGGCTGACCTTTGTCACTGGGAGAGGGGAGCTCTGTGGTCCCAGACGGGGTGCCAGGTGTGAAGATGGGGCTTTGGCTCAGCGCCAGAGCCTGTGACCTTGGCCCTGAGTCGGCCTTGGGTCTGGACAAATCTTGTGGTGTGGGGAGTGGAGGACACGCTGGCAGGCCACATCTGGGTCGGAGGGACTTTGACTTCGTTATGGCTCACGGGTACCTCAACACCCCTTCTTGCATCCTGCCTTGGACAGTGGGGCCGTGAGGCCCTCTGTCTTGGCCCCAGGCTGGGCTTCCAGGGGCACCTGCAGGGCTCTGTAGGTTAGGGACACAGTCCCCGATAGCGGCAGATGGGCAGGAAGTGGGGAGGCTCTGCGTGGGCTGGGCCCCTGAGAGTGGAGAGGGAGGCGGGAGGACTGGCAGGGTGCCCGGCGCCAGAACAGCATGACTGGACCACACGGGACAATGGCGAGGCCACCTCCAGCAGGCTCCACTTTCGAAGGAATCTGCCGCGCTGTTCCCATGGCCAGGCCAGAAACAATAGTGGGAGGGGTGGGGATGGACACTGCAGCCCAACTCGTGCCTGCTGTTCCCAGGCCCCTGTTCCCCAGCCACCCCAAACGTCCCTCCCAGAACTGACCTTCTCCTGTCAGCGTCAGACGGAGGGGAAAGAACTCACTCTGGCCCAGCTGAACCTCACTTGAAACCACCTGTATACCAGGGTTGCACCTGTGTCATGAGGAAAAGGACTCAGCCTGCTGGCTTAAATGGCCAGGTGGCTCCACGAAGAGTGAGGGATACCAATGACAGAGGCACACAACCACTCTACAACCCTCAGGCCCATGAGGAACAGGTTCCCAGCTGGGCACAGACCGCCTGGGAACCTAGTGTATGTTCAGCCACAACATGGGGGCCAGATGGAGTTGACCCTGAAGTTTCCTTCATGGGGAGCCCCTAAATTTTCTGTTTCTAGGGGGAAGGAGATGGAGGGGTCATGACATTCTGACTAGAGACATTCTCAACATGTCGGGGACCCTACCTTTTATCTAGCTGCTTCAGCATCTGGGAGGCCTAGGTCACTGAAAATCTGGTTGGGGATGACCTGGGATGGGGATTTCATCCCTGAACCCTCAGACAGTTCCTTTCCTCCCTACACCTCACATTTCCCAGAGTTCAGGGAAGAATGTTTTGCTGAAGGGCCAGCGGGCCACACTCTGCAGCGGTAGGCGCACAGCACCCCAAAAATGAGGCTTTGGTGCCCTCTAGTGGCTATGCCTTGAATGGCTACTCCTGGCAATATCGTCTAGAGGCATTGTTAGGGACCCCATCAAGTCAGCAGGCAGCTCCCAGGGGGGTTCCTTTCTCTCACAGCTTGGCTGGAGACCCCGCCTGAGCGCTTCGTAGGGCCACCTAGTCTGGGGTTCAGGTGTACAGGCCACTCAGTCCTGAGCTGGCTCCCCTTCCCTAGGGTAGATCCCCACCTGGCACAGGGCCCTCCAGGGCAGGCGTCAACCCTGGCTTCACTGCGTCCACTCTCATGGCCCTCGGGGTCTGCTCAGGCCTGGAGAGCAGTGAGGACAGCAAATATTTACTGCTGACAGGAGAAGACAAATACTGCCCCCGGCCAGGCTGAGGTACCAGTGTGTCTGTGCCAGGAGCGGATGCACTCTGGGGAGTCACTGGGAACAGCTGCCCAGGTGGAATGTCCTGGGTGAGCTGGGGCATGTGACATGCTGTGTGTTCAAGAAGACCAGCCATGCCACCTTTGGGGCTCGGTGACCCCTTGTGGAGCACTGGTACAAGAGTTCCTGCCATGTGAGTGAAGTGGGCCACCTACCTGGTCAGACCAGGCAGTGACACCCTGGCCCTCCAGACATGTGGAAGGGACTGTGAGGGATACAGGGGCACCAGGGGTGGGGTGGAGCTGGAGGGCAGCTTGTTACTTACCCCACTGCCTCAGCTGGTGAGTGCTCAGATGGACCCTCATCCCCCAAGGCCAGAGTGCCAGGCACATCTGGACACAACTGACTGCTACCATTGGCTCCACCAGCAAGTGGAATCCAAGTTCCAAGGGCAGGCTGGGTCTCAGGCCATGCGGGGCTGTCCAGTTTCCCAGAAGGGGCGGAGCAGGGGCGAGGCTTGCAAGGAGTACGAGGCCAGTTCTGTGCAGGCCTCTGAGGGGTGACCTGGATGCTCCAGGAAGCATCCACACTCCTCAGCCAGACACCTGGGGGTCAGCACATGGGGCCGTGCAGTTGGGAGGCCATACCTCATGGGGCCTCTACAGCTGGAGACCTAGCCATTGCACGGGTGGCCACTTTTTGCCCAGGGTGGGGATCCTGCCCACTCACAGGTCTCTGGCCTCCTGCCCTGACCTTTTCAAGAACAGTGGTGAGGCCCAAGGGGGTGGGTGGGAAGAGCTTGGGGAAGGGAATCCTTTGTCTTGGAGGTAGGTTTCTAGAAGGAAGAGGGTGGCTGCATACACAGCAGGGTAACTTGGGGCTGAGCAGCATTCCCTTTCCTGGAGGCCTCAGGATAGAAGTTCCCCCAGGAAAAGTTACAGAAAACTTGTCCCCCAGAAAGACGCTCAGAGTTCCCCAGAGCCATGCAGAACCAGCTGTAAAACATACATCCACAAACCGGAGCTGACCTCAAGACTCGAAGACCCCAAAGGACTCCAGGTCCATCTACCTCCAACTCATCCCCTAAAAGGCATCTGTGGGCACCACGGAGGACACATCCACCCATCGCCCCCCATGTTCTGGGCAGTTCTGGCCAATGGCTGCCTGGAGAGCATGTGTACCCCACTACCCACTGCTTGGTCCCAGCTCTGGCCGCCCTCTCGGCGGTGAGCTCACATACCTCTAGTCCAGCAGGACGCCCTAGCAGTGCGAACAGGCCAGTGGGGTGTTCCCATGGACCGGTCCCAGCCTCCTCCTCCCCCTCCTCTTCCGGGGCCAGTGTCCGGCCGTCTACCCGCCTGCCCAGTCCTGGCCCCCTCTCTGAGGGCGTGGCTTGCTGGGGGCCCGACATGTATCTAGGTGGGGGTGCCGATGGGATATGGAGAGAAAGAGACCTGGGAGGGGACCTCAGGGGTGCAGCAGCGGGGGGCCCCAGCAGGAAGTCTTCTCCAGCTTCAGTCCTGAATGCTCAACTGCCCTGGGTTTAGGCACCAATCCTAGATCCAGCCACCCCAGCCCCAGCCAGGCTGAGCTCTCATAGGAGGTGCAGAATGGTTTGGCCTGGATGGCAGGCAGGCTGGCCAGACCTCAGGGTCACCCACTGACCTTCCAGGCCAAGGCCAGCCCTGAGAGCCCCTGGGCTCTTTCCTGCCCAGCAGGTGGCGCCCAAGCTGCGCCTCCTGAGAAGATTTTCTGAGCTCAGTGGGTGCAGGAGAGGGTCTAGACTCAGTGTGACCTCATCCTCAGGGTCTACAGGCACCTCTGGAGGTGACTGCTACTTCTCAGATAAAGGAATCTGGCTAGCAACCCTGCCTAACAGAAGGGAGAGGTTGGAGGACAGTGGGGAGACCCGGTTCTGGTCCCTGGGCTGTGGTCTCTGCCTCCCTGTGAGCAGGTAAGGGACCCCTGAGGGGAGGGGCTCCAAGGCCCCCACCCAGTGCTTCGGGATCCTTCAGCCTGTCCCCTGCTCTCGGGGTCATCTGGCTTCTCCTTCAGGGAGGTGGGTTCCCAGGGTCTCTGGTTAGGTCCAGACTGGAGTCTAAGGCTACACCCAGTTCACCCAGAGTTGGGCAGCACTTAGGGTGGCCCTGCCCCTGCAGCAGTCTTCTGGCCCTCCTCAATTCCTGCCCCAGCAGGACCCTGAGCCGCAGCCCAGCTCCACCCCACCACCCCTGCCCAGGGTACAGGGGGTCGAATTCAGGACCTTGCACTTGTGAGGTAGGCACGGTGCCACTGTGCTAAATCCCCAGCTCGAAGCTGGGAAAAACTCCATCCAAATTAGCTCTAAAAGAGCCTGGGAGGGCCAGGAGGAAGCAATTGCTGAAATGTTCTGGTCCTCCTGCCTCTAAAATTTCTCTGGGGACCTCCAGGGCCTAGGGCTTTGAAATAAGGAGAAGTCAGCTCCCAGCTGCCCATCACCCACCTATCAGAGACTCAGAGCCCTTAGGAAGCAGCACAGAGGGGCAATGTAGTCCTACCAGCAACCCAGGCTGGGGACACTCATCCGCTGAGGGAGGGTGCCACTTGAGCCCTGGGCCAGTGTGGATGCCCAGAGAGTAAGGAAGATGCTCGGGGCTGTATGAGGGGTGCAGAGAGAATAGAGAGGGGTCTTTTGCAGAAGATAGGCTGGGGGGGCATGCATTACCCACCCAGGTCAGCCTCTCACCATCCACGCGACACATAGACCATGCAACGGGGCTCATTCAAGGCATTTATTGGCTGCCTGGGGAGAGTGGCAGGCAGACCCAAGGTGGGCGACTAATTGCAGTAATTCTTCAGCTGGTATAATGAGCAGATGCCGTTACAGCACTGGTCCACAATGCCACGCTTCTGCAGTGCCACCTCCAGTGCCAAGGGCTGCAATCCACCTGCCTCGGGGTCCATGTCCAGCTCTGCCTGCCCCACTGCTGGGAGATGGTGCCAAAACACAGGAGCAGCAGCAGCAGCAGCAGGGAGAGAGACGAAGGGAGACCCTGTTAGGAGCAGCAAAGCGCCGACTGGCTGGCCCCACGCCACCACCCTCCCACTGTGTCCCCAGATGAGCCGGGCCCGGGTGGAGGAGAAGCCATGCCCAGCACAGGCACTGGACACACAGCACGGAGACCCACGTCTCCTTCCGCCAGCCCCTGTGTTCACATGCTCCTGTGTCTGCAGCAAAGCTCAGACCTCCATGAAGCATTTTCTCAGAGGCATGAAGGAGCGGGGATGGGGCAATCCATGAATGTCCCCCAAGCCACCCTGAAACTAACACCAGGATGTAATCTATGTAATAAAATCCATCCCCAGAAGCGGCTGCGCCATGGGAGGGTAGAAGACCCGGCTGGGGCCAGGGCAGGTACTTGAAGGCAAGTGAAGGGGACAGAGGGTGCAGCCTGCTCACCCCTTACCACCAGATTCTCCACGTGGCACAGGAGCTGGTCTCTTTAGGAAACGACCAAGAAAGCCGACTCCCTTTTCAGAAAGCCCATCGACTCTCCTGGACAGTAGCTTCCTACCATCTCTGCCCCTGCCCGGGTGGGGGTACCAGGCACGGGGACAGCCAGGGACAGTAGGGGGGCTCACCCTGAGGGTCCTCCAGCTCCCGGCGCTCCTTGGGTTTATAGAAGAAGCCGTCATCCCCGCACGCGCGATACAGCGCCTCCACTAAGTGTGAGCCGCAGAGATGGCGGTTGACAAAGGCCTGAGCAGTGTCAGGCCACCAGAGGGCCAGCAGGGCCAACACGGCAAGAAGACGCATCCACGGGGCCATGGTGGATGGGTGATGACCTGAGGGAGAGGCAGAGTTGAAGCCGGAGCCCCCAATAAGAGAGAAGACCCCCGACCTGGAGCCGCAGCGGTACAGCCCCTACCCAGCGTGGAGGACACAGACCTGTTTGCTGACTGCCTCTAAATGCAGCTGGTCCAGCCGGCTGGGGGCCGCTGGGCCCCTGCTGACTTTATAGCCCTGAGCCCACCTCCCCTGGCTCCAAACCCTGCCGTCAGGCCCATTAGGGACTCAGGGTGGTGGTATCGGCAGATGGCCAGGGGGCTGAGGCAGCAGTTTCTGGATCATTTCCCTGGTGCTGGGTCTGCAGGACGAGCTCCTTGGTCGTCAGCACCTCTGCTTGGGCCCTGAGTCATTAGTCTTAGTGAGGGACTGATGGCCTTGGCTAACCCTGCTCACAGCTGGGGGCCCAGGTCCCCAGGAGAGCAAAAGCCCACTCCAGGCTGGGGGGCACTTTCCACATTAGCCCAGGAGAGCTGGGAGCGGGAAGGGAGGGAGACTTCCTGTCTTCACTCTGTGGGGGCCCTGTCCTCGGCCCCTGTGGATGGCTGGGGTTGTGGGGTGAGTGAGGAGAGCGCCCCTCCCTGCTGCCTGCTAGCCCTTCACCCCACCCCAGAGCTCAGCCCAGATGAGACCGCCTAGCTTCCCCTGGGAGCAGGAGAAAGCAAAGCCTGGGGAGAAGCAGTGTTTTGACCCCATGAGATGGCCCTGATTCCTGTCTTCAGTGTGGGGACAGCAGAGCCTCTCCAGGTCCAGCCCAGGCATCCTCTTGGCCCCCCACCCCTCTTCCCGGAGCCCCTGCTGATCTCTCCCTTCAGGCCAGGGCCACGACCCTGCCAACCCAAGAGGGTCAGACAAGGCACTGGAGGCCCAGCTGGACCCCTTGGGGGATGCATGGACTCCGAGGCCTTCTGCCTTCTGCTTTCACCCTCTCTGAGTGGCAGGGTTGGAGCAAGGTCATCTCAGCCATGGGACCTTCACAGACTCCATTGGAAGGGGTTGGAAGGGCTGGGGAATTCTGTGCCCACCTCCTGTCCCTCTCTGCCACCCTGCCTTGCACTGACAGGCCCTTCCCGGCCCACTGAAGACCCTCCGCCCAGGAGCTTGGGCCTGGGACTCAACCTTCGCCCAGCCTCAGGCTTCCCCAGCTTGAGAAGAATTCTGGGTGGGGCCCTGGCTTACTTCACCACCAGCAGCTCATGCCTTGACCCCCGGGGACCCTGTGGTGCTCAGTGGTCTCAGGGCAGCTGGGGAGAGGTGGGCGCCTCCTGGAGAGGACTGTGCAGGGAGGGAGCTGAATACAGGATGACCTGGGGAGAAGATGCAGGGTCAGCAAAGCCTCCGGGAGTGGAGAGGGATGGGAGTCCTTGCCCAGGGCCGCAGCCTTCCTGAGGGTCTCAGTGAAGGTCATGGCCTTGCCTGGCTCCCTGAGGGTTAGCCCTGTCCTAGGGACTCAGTGACACAGAGGAGGGACCCACAGCATCCTGGTGGGGCTTAAAATCCTTCTGGGATCTCGGTGGGGCTTAAAGCCTCCTCCCTGGGGTCTCAAGAGAGATTACAGCCTAACCTAGGGTCTGGAGAGGGCTCGGTGCTCCACCCAGATTGATGACTGAGTGAGAGATTGAACCTAGGTCTTCACACAGAGTTACATCCCAGATCTCTCTCCCTCCCTCCCTTCCTCCCATCCTCCCCTTTCCTTCCTTTCTTCTTTCCTTCTTTCCTTTCCTTTCTTTCTCTTTCCTTCCTTCCTTCTTTTCTATTTTTTCCTTTCTTTCCTTCCTCCTTCTCTCCTTTCTGTTTTGTTTTGTTGAGACAGTGTCTCTCTATTTAGTTCCGGATGACCTTAAACTCCATCCAGACTGGCCTGAAACTCATGGCGATCCTCCATGTGCTGGGACTACAGGTCACCACCATACCGGGGCCAGCAATCAACCCCCGCCTTCCTCCCTCTTTTTTTTTTTTTGGTACAGTGGATCGAACTTGGGTCCTTGCGCTTGTGAGGCAGGCAGTGGAACCACTGAGCTAAATTCCCAGCCCATCTCCATTTATTTCTTTAACAGCTGATAGAAGGACAGAGGCCAAGGAGGACTGGGGCCTTGCACAGGGCCAGAGGGAGAAGCAAGGCTTTCCCAGCATTCTGTTCAGACTTAGAGCCAGGGAGCCTGCAGATCTAGTGGGGTCTGGAGGATGCTGGGGCTCAGGGCAGTGTCCTGGCCCCTCTAGGGAGCCAGTGTGGGGGCTGAGACCATACTCCAGCCCCTGAGTTGCGTTCCTAGAGACGGAAGCCTGGAAGGCTTGCCTCTGAGCCTATCCCGCTGAGCTCTTTCCATTAACACAGGAGCACGTAGAGGCCCCTCTCAGTTCTGGGACCCTGCTCTGGATGGGGAGAGGACGTCAGGGCAGCTGGGTCTTGCCCCCTTCCTCTGTCCCTGGCTTACAGCTCTGTGCTGGGGATCATCTTAGCATAGACTCCCCTGCTCCCCACAGGAGTCTGGGGAGACCCTCCTACCCCTGTCCCCACCATGGTGCTGCCACCCCATGGAGAAGGCACAGCTCAGCCAAAGCCTTCTCTAACCCTGTGGGGCTGCTGGGGGCTCAGAGTTGGGAAAGAACTTTGGGTGACAGGGAAATGAGGCTGGGGGCTCCAGCTGGAAGAAGGGAGAAGAGGACCCTTCAAGCAAGGCTGGGCAGGTGCCAGGGTCAGGGCCCATCACTGTGGCATAATGCAGAGGCCATGAAAATACTCAGAGACCTTTCTTTCTTTTATTGAATCAGTGAACAGTGTGGTGGAGAGATGGGGTGGTGGGGGAGTGCAGGGCCAGCCCATGGCCCTGGGGCTCAGGTGGCAGCAGGACAGGATCTTACAGGTACACACAGCAGCCATGGTGCTAGAAAGCAGCAGGGGAGCTCAGCAGGGGCCCAGGGGGAGGAGGGTGAAAGGGAATCCAGTCATCCGTGGGTCTGGGGTGCTCATGACCCAGCCTTTACTTGGGCCTGAGCTCTGGGGCAGGACAGGAGCCAAGGGAGGGTTGGTGGGACACTCCAGAGCAGGCCCCCGGGGCCGTGGGGTCATGCACTTGCACCTAGCTGATGGCACTCATTGCGTGGACCAGGGTGTGCAGCTGATCCTGGATACCCTCCAGGGAGCGTCGGATGGTGTGGGGACTGTCCAGCACATCAATGGCCTGTGTGTAGGGGTCAAACTTCACAGAGAAGGGGCGCTGGATTCGAGAGGCGTAGCCCCTAGGGAGGGAAGCCGTTGTAGATGTTCAGCCACTTGGTGGGGGCATGAGAGGGAGGCAGGGGCTAAGAGCTGGAGGCAGAGTAGGTCTGCAGCCTCCAGGACAGCCAGAGGCGGGGGCTGGATGTTTTTTTCTGGGCTGCCTGAGCCCCTAAAGCTCAACTGTCCAGGTTTCCTTCAGAGGCCTTTTCCAAGCAAACCTCTGCTGGGTGCCCCTCTCCAGGAGCCTTCCCCGACCATGTGCTCTGAGGCTTCCTAAGCTTATGTGTGGATTCTGTTGCTCTCTCTCTGGGCCCCCACTGCTCACTGTAGCCCCATCCCTAGGAAGTCCTGGCTTCTTCCTTGCCTTGTTGCAGTCCTCAGCCACCTTTTTGCCTCTTATCCCTCCCAATCCCATCCAAGGAGGGTAGGAGGTGGAGAAGGGCCCATGTGTCCCTAAGCAGTGCAGGCTCTGCCAGTTGGTCTTGATCTGGCCATAGAGCAGCCCCAGCCCCACAGCCTCTCTCTGCTGAGACTCCTGGGGACCTCTGAGGTGTGTGTGCTATGAAGCGGAGGGTATAACCCAGGGCGTTGAATCCTCTGTGAAATGAGCTCCCAGGTGGGGCGAAGGCCTGAGAAACAGTTTGCAGACAGGATGGAGCCTCATCCCCACCTGAGCTTGTCCTTAGCATCACTGAAGCTCTCTGACACGAAGTAGACTGGCTGGTAGGTCTGGTCTTGGTAGGGCTGGACAGCGGCAGCATCCGGGTCGAAGGCCCGGATCTCAGGCTCCTCAGACAGGGAGTGCTGATGGCAGGAGGTTACCCTTGTCATGGAGCTGCCACTCCCCAGCGCCCAGAGGAATGGGGTTCTGTGGCCTGACGCCACATGGGCTCTGGGTGAGGATGTCCACAGAAGGCCTTGCGACAACTTGGAGTGGGGATGGCAGACAAGCTTCCTTTGAGGAAAGCCCCAATCTAGGAGGCTGGGTCAAGGTGTCTCTTCGCTTAGGACTCTGGCCCCCTCCCACACCATGGCCCAGGCCTCCTCTGCTGGAGTCTCACCAGGAGCTCCCCATAGGAGGAAAGCAACCCAGCCCCGTAGGCCTTCAGCTCTCCATTCTGTTTGCACAGCCCAAACTCCACCGTGAACCAGTACACCTGTCAGGATAGTGGGGTGTGTGAGGACCGCCGCTCTCTCAGCCACCACTGGCTGAGATCAGGGCACCACCCCATGGCAGTCCAGGGCTGGGTAGGGCTGGGACAGAAAGGAGATCAAACCTACAGTGGACAACTTCTCAATTTCTTCATCTGAAGCCCCCAGGGATGCGAGGCCAATGTCCTGTGGAGGGAACAGGAAGCTGAAAGGTGAACTCAGCCCAGTATTGTGCTCTAGATGGGGGTTCTGGGAGTCAGCCGCCCTTCCAAGTGTTCCCCTTACATTACCTGGGACACGCAGACCATCACCACAACCTAGGGTAGGAGCCTGCTGTTCCCAATTAACCCAGCAGGTGGCAGCAAAAGCAAGGGAGCATCTGCTGGGTGTGGGACTGGGGCTGCAAGAAAGGACTGGGGTCCCTCCTTCTGTGGGTGGGGTGTACCCCGGGGTGCCATCACCTTCAAGTCTCAGGGTCTGTGAGGACACTGTCCATTCCTAGGTAAGCTCCACAGCGGGCAGAATGCATTGCCCGCTTGTTAGCCCTGGCAGCCCTGAGCCAGCAGTGCCTTTCAGTGATCCTGCTCGTGGCCTGAGGCTCAGACCCACCTGGGAGAACTGGGCAAACGTGCGGTCAGCCAGCATGGGCACGTGCCCCAGCAGCTCGTGGCAGCAATCCCTGTGTGAGGCAGAAAGAGGGAGAGGGCTGGGGACCCTGGCCTGCCGCACCCTCGCTCCATCGTCCCCTGGGTCCCTCTGTGCTGCCGTCCCGATTGAACAGCCACCCTGCCCCATGGACACTCACGGTTCAGGTGAGTGCATGGGCGAGGAGGCGTGGCGGATGTACTGGGTACACTGGAACACGCGGAAGGCCAGGCTGGCCAGGAAGTCCCGGGCAGATAGCAGGCCGGCCACGGGCCGCAGCTGGAAGCCGGTCCGCTCTGCAAGGGGCCTCGTGATCAAGGTGCAGCGAGGTGCCAGGAACGGATGTCCCACAGCCGATGCCCTCCTTCTCCCTCCCTGCCCAGACCCTCCCCACTGCCTCGCACCCTTCAGGAACCGCGATACATCCTCCAGCTGCGGGATGCTGTCCTCACGGTAGCCGCAGAAGCGCTCCAGCAGCTGGAAGCCCTCCAGGTGCTCCCGGCAGGCGTGGGTGGCATAGAGGCTCCTCAGCGTGGTGTAGACCTCTTTCCTGCAGGCCAAGGAGTCAGGACCTGCTGGACTGACCTGTGCCGTCCCTGTCTACTTCCACAGTCCCTGGCACCATTCTCATGGTAGAGGTAGGCCTTAGCTGGTGGCTCTGGGAGACTGCAGGGGGTACTGGGGACATCCCTGGGGACGGCTCCAATATTCTGAGCCTTGGGAAGTCACTCCCCAACCTGGCTTTAGTCTCTCAGCCATACAATGCCCAGGGAGGTCACTCCTGCCCAGGGCTCCTTGAACCCAGCCCCGCCCTGGCCCAGCTGACTGTGATGGGTCTCACCAGGTAGTGATCTCTTCAGCAGTATACTCCACATGGGGGATCGGCTCACCGCTGTGAAAGAGTCAGTGCTCAGTCACGGCCTCCACCCCGGGGGCAGAGGGCAAGAGGGAAAGGAACCTCCCTTGCTTAGAGCCTAGCCAGCCAGGATTGGGGCCTTTGGGGTTGGAGAATAAAGAGGGTGCACTCTGGGCTGACTGTACCTGGGGCTGGCTATGTACGCTTGGCTGCTTAGCCTCTCTGTGCCTCAGTATTCAGCTGTGACTTGGGGGCGATGCCAGTGCCCACCTCTGTGCTTTGATATATGCAGACCATGGGGCAGGAGACTGGACCCCAAGTGGGCAGCAGCAGTAGTGAGGTGATGATGTGGGTGAAACAATGGCCTCTCCTCCTTTCCTGCCCCACCCCAGCCAGTGTGAGGCCACAGAATGGGCCCCTGGGTAGATGGCCCTTACTGCTTGTACTGGAAGGCGATCTCGGCAATCAGCTTCCGGCGCTGGCGATACACCTGGTCTGAGAAGCCCTGATACAGAGGGGACAGGAGCCCAGTTAGGAGACTGTCCTGCCCTCTCCGACCCAGCTGAGCTGAGCAGGGGGACTCGGAGGGACATGGGGTAGGGACACTAGCTCACCGGATGGTCCATGTCCAGGTCAGGGTCAAACTTGGTGACCAGGTGGTGACACTTGTCCAGCTCTGACACCTTTCGTGGGAACCAGGGGACTTTACAGAGGACAGAGCAAGAGGGCCCAATGAGTGTGGCCTCTACTCCATCATTGCTTATCTTGGACAGAGCTTCCCCCGGGGGCCTCTGGGAAGCAGAGACCACCAGAGATATGATGGGGGGAAGGTGACCTGGGCCTCGATAAGACCGTGGAGCAGAACCAGAGGAGGGGCGGGGCCAGCACAGGCAGAGGCCAGTGCCATGAGGTCACTTGAGCGGTTTCCCCTGCAGGAGACTCTGCTCCCCATGCCTGGGATCACCTGGTGGCTCCCCACACCCAGGGCTGCACTCAGGGACAGAAAGCAGAGCTTACCCTTGTCCTCCTTGGCACTGCGCACATCATCCGACACCCGGCGCACGGAGCTAAGCAGAGCAGGCAGGTCCCCACTGGGCACCTCAAAGCGCACAAAGTATTCCAGGTGGGGGCCACCAGCCCGTGGCCTTGAGGCTGGACGGGTCTCCAGGTGGTGGATTTTAGCTTCAAATGTCTTTGGGAGGTAAAAAGCAAGAGGAGAGAAGAAATAAAGAGAGAGGTGGAGAAACTGGGGAGAGGGAAAGAAAGAAGCACTATGGTCAGCTTGCCTGGCTCTGCCCTGAACTTTTGCAGCTGTAGCAGCTCTGCCATCCTTCAGAGCCACGGCAGGCTCCTGCTGCTAGGTCAGAGTTTGCCTCTGGCAAACCTGACTTTGTCTCATGTCTACCGGGGTTTTGTCTCAGAGTCTCATACGTCTGTCCAGTTGTGCCCTCGTTCCCCTGTCTGCAAGTCCTAAGGTTGTGTCTATGCAGCCCCGCTCCCCGGCCTCCCTGATGGCCTCATTTGGGCCCACCGGCCACCCCACAGCTGATGGGTTGATGTATCCCCTCTGTGACCACAGCATGGGGCTCAAATCCCTTCACAGCAACTGCTGAGCATCAGGGATTGGTGGGAGGGTCCATTCCATCACTACCGTGTGCTGCCCAGCAACAGGACACTTGGGCCACTGAGCCGGCCCTGGGCCCTCACAAGGAGTCTGGCTTTAATGTCACCTGGGACTTTCCTCCAGGAGTCAGGTCACCAGCCCCTGTGCTCACCTCAAACACCTTGACGGCCCGGGACAGTGGAGAGAGCTTGGAGCCCCGAAGGGAGAAGAGCAGGTTCAGCATGGCTCTCCCCTCCTTTTCCTCAAAGACCACCGCCTCCAGGGGGTCCCCGGGCTCCGAGGAGGCCACTGCAGCTGCTGCCGCCGCCGCTGCCGCCTCCCGCTCCTTGCGAGCATCCTCAATGAGGCTCTGCCGACGCCCGATGAACTGTGGTGACTGTGGGGACAGGGACACGCTGTATTCTCCTCCTTGCTGACACCCTTGGGGCCCAGGCAGGCTGCTTGGTGACACACAGGGTGGGAGATGGGCACACTGCTGAGCCCCTGGGGCGCTGCATGCAGGTCCTGATGGAAGAGGTGACAGCCGGCCTGATAGGAAGATGCTGGAAACCATGACAGAGCAGGGGGCCGAGGCGCCTGGACAGCTGCCTCCCAAGGCAGACGCACTGTGTCACCTGTTCCTAGGCCTGGCCTTAACTGGATTAGTGATGGAGGAGCTGCCTCTCCCGTGCCCACAGATGGACAGATGGACAGCAGCCAGGGCACTGGAAGGCCACAGCACAGGAGGTCTCTGTAGAGTGAGTGTCGCTCCTTTGGGGACCTCCTGGCCTCCTTGTGGAGGTGCAGGGCCAAGGCCACTCCTTATGTGCTCCATCGGAGCTCTCCACGGCTGGCCATCGGTCTCTCCCCGTGCTGTTTGCATTTCCAATTCCCCAATACTCAGAGCCCACCCAGCCTTGGGCTAAGGAGGCGTCTGGGCTTAGTCTTGGAGCTGAGTTTCCATGAAGGCCTGTGTCCCTCAGTCCCTTTGTAAAAGAGAACAAGACCCTGGGGTCCTGGAAATGGGAGGCGGTTCAGCCCAGCTCCACCCTCCTTTTCCTCAAAGACCACCACCTCCAAGTCCCCTCTTGGTCTTGGATAGAAAGAACTAGGGCCATTGCTCTGTCCCAGGAGAACTCTGTAGGCTGGGTGGGCCAGGGCCTCCCAAGGAGAGGAATCTGATTTGGAACCAGAGAGGTAGGGCCCTCTTGACCTCACATTGTCCCTGAAAAGTGCCTGGAAGTTAAGCTTCTGTGCTAAGGTCTACAAACACAAACCCCTCCTGGGTGTATGGGGAGCAGATTGCTGTGGGCCCTGAGGTAGAACTGAACCCTCAGAGGCTGAGACCCCCCCAGTCACCCAGTCCAGCAAAGGGGTCAGCTCAGTGTCCTTTGCCTGCACTTAGAGCTCAGAGAGAGGAGAGGAAGGAATGGGAGGAGGGACAGAAGTCACCATAGAGCCGGATCATCCTTGGCACAACAGAATCTGAGCCTGTTCCTGACGGCTGGACCCTGCCACAAGATGTCACTGGGCCAGGAAGATTGGGGCAGCTCCCCCACCCCCAAGCAGATAACTGATAAAGGCAGCTGGGCACAGGAGGCAGGTGAGGCCGGCTGAACCCTTGGCGTTCTCCCAGGGCCTCTGGTGACTGTGACCACAGACAGCCTTCATCATCCAGCACGCCCAAGGGGAATATTTTTCCTGATTCACAAAACAGGACACACAGAGACCCACACACACCCCAGAGCTTGGCATGGTGGGACAGGCAGCATCTCCCAGAGCCCAGCAGTACACAGAAGAGACACACACCGGGATACAGGGGACACCCTTGGGCCGGGACACACAACAACCCTGCAGACTCCCAGTGGGCTCGCCACCAGCCCGCTAAGGCAGAAGCTGCTTGGCCTGCCCCGGGCATCTGTTGCCCTCTGGCCCGTGGGTGCCAGCATGCCCCCTTACCATGATGGCCTCAGCCTGCTTGGCATCCAGCTCTGAGACGGCCCTTCGGAAGCCCTTGGGCTGCAGTGTGGCAGCGCCGGGGGTGGGCATGATGCTGCGTGGTGGTCCAGGTCTCCGTCTCCACAGCCCTTGGCAGGCGGCTTCTTAAAGGCCAGGCTGACGTCAAAGCCCCTCTGGGTCCCTCACCTCCCACCTCCCGTGGATCCCTCCCTCTCCTGCCTGCTGTGCCTGAGGGAGGCGGGGTGGGCGTGGAGCTGCAGGAGAAAGGGCTCTGTCCCATTAGATCTAATTGCATTCGTGTCACAGGCACAGGCCTCTGAATCATCCCCAGTCCCTCAGCTTGCGACCAGGGGCTGGCTCACATTCTACAGGGGAAGGGGACAGCTAGGTTCCTTCAGCGAATGCCCACTGGGGGTTCACAGGGAGGAGTTCTGCTGGGTACCCACAGACACACGCTCCACCAAACCTGTCTCTCTCTGGCCAGCACCCCCAGGAACCCCAAGAGGGATGAAGCTTTGAGCTTCAGCATCAGGAGCCCCTTTCTTTAGTTTCCCAGAAGACTCTTCAAATTTCCCCCACAGCATCCTGGGCTTATTTCTGTAGACCTACCAGGCATGGTACCTGCATTGCCTTAGCCCTATGCCTGCTGGTCCTGGTGCTGGACCTCCAGGTGGGTCCCTTGGGGAACAGAATGATCCAGAAGGGCCAATCCCTCCAGTGTGTCTGTCTCAAAGAGAGTCCCACTTACCTCTCAGAGGCCCCCATCCTCCCCAGGACTGCAGCCCCCTCACAGGGTGACCAGGAAAGCACCCAGGAAATGGGATTAGCTGCCCTGCATGCCCTGTTCCACCACCTACCTCAGACCACTCCTCCTCTGAGGAGCACACCCCACCCTCTGCACTGAGACTCCTGGGCCCCCCTTTTCTCCCCAGAGAGCTTCCTACCAGCCAGCCACCACCCCCTTCTTCAGCTGATCCTGGGTGGTGGCCTAGGTTTCTCACGGTGCCTGGAACTCTCTCACTTCCCCAGTGGTTGTTCCTGTAGGCTCCTCCCTCCCATCCAGGGCCAGGGGTTCACTCAGAATTTCTGAGGAGCCCAGGAGGGGACAGAGAGGGCCCCTCCTCAATGGTGGGCTTGGGTCCACTCAATCTAAACCCCTCCCTGGCTCCATTCCTGCTGCAGGTGATGACTTTGAGCAAAAGTGTGTGGATATCATGAGGCAGCTTCCTGGGTCTGCCTCGGAAAGGTCTCTTCCCTCACGAAGGGGACTTGCAGATAGGTGCCCCCTGTCCCCTGGCCTGTGGGGCCAGTAGGGTGCCAAAGGCCAGAGCCCACCCTGAAAATGGCAGATTGGAGAGAGGAGGGCACTGGCCTCCCTCTACTCCCACCGCTCCCCTAGCTGATCGCCATGAGACCCCAGCCCACCTCCTGGGCATCTCTCAGACTCCCAGGAACCACCTAGTCTATTCATCACTTCCGCTTCACTCCTCAGTTCTCCCTTCAACAATGGCCCCAGGTTCTTCCCCAAAGCTGGTGCACCTCGCTGCTCTCTGGAGACATGAATGTTCCATCAGTTGCAGGAAAGCCCACCTCTGCCCCTGCCCCCGGCCACTGAGCCCTGCTGATCTGTTCACTCCTCGTGGTCCCACTTCCTGCTCCAGGAGGTTTTAGGGCTCTCTGATACCCAATTTGAAATGCTATTCTTCACCTGCTTTCTTCTGGCAAGCTCTTTTGTATCCTAAAAAAAACCCAACTCAGCCATCTGTACCAGGAAAAAAAAAAAAAAAAAAAAA